AAAAACGTAAAGCCATAACCCATTAGTGACTGAAGAAGGGAATTATATACCCTTGTAAGATCACACTATATGAGTATAGTTTATGTAAGAAAAATTCTCATGAGAATGTCTTATGTATTTTGGCAGTAATGATCTCTATATTAAATGATTATCAGTCTAATAAAAAAGTAAAGCCATAACCCACGAGTGACTAAAGAAGGGAATTATATACCCTTCTGTTTTATGAGATTTAGCTGGATTTTTGAAACATGATCAAAATTTGAAGTTTATGAGTTTATGATATTAGATGATTATCAGTCTACTAATTGTAAAAACTCAATTTTCAGCCCAGGCTACTGGCATGACCGTGGTGCATCATAGCTAGAACCTAGTCTAGAGACCTCTAGTGACTATGGGACCACCATAGATGGATTTACAAGGCCGAAAACATTCACCCAGCAAAATTTCAGCTCAAACAAACCTTTCTAGATCCCACTTTTCAGAAGTGAAAAGACTTTTACTATTCAATTGAACACCTTTTGAACCAGTATCTATTTATAGTGATTGTGTTTTCCAAAACTAGGGCAATTTGTGAAGCTTGGATCTCTCTCATATTGAAGAGGATAGACCCCAAATTTCAGTATATTGTTCCTCTCGTTAAGATCTGCATTTTAGTGGGTGCCACGTATGGTGGGGACTCCCGGATAAGGAGAAATCTTAGAGAAAATTTGACCGAAAATATGAAAAAAGTAGAATTTTCCAACAGCGTATGGTATCACTCCGACAATCATATCTCAAGATTTCGGACTCCTACGACTTCAAGGCCAAGTCAATTACAATCGTGACTAAGAGGGCTTCGTTTTGACATATTATTTGCTCGAAATGGATTTCGGGAAGACGTCCTATTGAATCTCGGAAGAAGGCATAGTTTTTTTATCTCCGGATCCCATTTTCCGGCGACCTTCCGAAATGGAAAAGTGATCAGATAACACTCAAATTGAGGGTTTTTCGTTGCAAAACAATCACAACAACTTCCTTTTTTATTTGTGATAAGAAAGATGACAAAAAATGCGACGAAACATGCAATATCGAAGATCAATATTTCAAGTTTATGAGTTTTAGCCGGATTTTTTAACCATGTTCAAAATTTCGACTCAAGTTTTAAATTGTATATCAAATTGATCACCTCAAGGCGACCAACATGTCTATGATATTGGAACGCTTGGAACGTCACCAGAAGGCATCGAAAATGGCTTCAAACAATATGGAAAGCATGAGGACCCTTTTGAGGGATGGTCTTGTCATTTCCACAAAAGCATGGAAGGGCAAAATAATCATTTTTTGCATCAAATGAAATTCACTTTTAATTCTTTTTTTAATTAAATTTTTTTATCAATTAGGTTAGTTGTTGAGCATACACCCATGTGTTTTGATCTCTATATAAGCGCAAAGCTTCTCATTTGTAAAAGGTTGGCAATTGCAATCAAAATTAGAGTGAGATAAATTGAATTCTCCCCAACCAAGAGAATAGAGAAATATTTTAATTGTGAGAGTATGCCCTTGGATCACCAAGACCTAAACCCTAGTCCACTCCACCATAGACCATCCTAGCTATAGACCATAGTCCACATTACCCATACTATAACCGTAAACCATACAACCCTAACCCTAGATCATAGACTACCTTAACCATAGACCCTAGACCACCTAAGCCATAGACCATACAACCCTAACCCTAGACCATAAACCATACCTCGTTAACCATAGACCATAGACTACCTAACCTAAACACCTTAGCCTAACCTCACCATACACCATACCCTTGAACTTATACAACTTAGCCTAGCCCACCTTGACCTTCTACCCCAAAATCTGAACTCCTTTTCCATTGCATGGAACTCTCAAGGAGCACCAGGATTGAACCCTCAGCTCGATACATAAGCACCCGGTCCCCCTTTATTTCTCTTTCTCTTCCTCTCTCTCTTATGTCTCCTTCTTCTCTTCCGCCCTCTCCCTCTCTTTCTCTTTCTTTCTCATTCTCTCACATTTTCTCTCTCTTTCTCTTCATCTCTCCCTCTCTCTTGCTCTCTCTTATTTTTTCTCTCTACGACCTCTTATCTCTTTCTCTCTCCTTCTCTCTCTTCTCCTTTTCTCTCTTTCGCTCCCCTTCTCTCTCTCTCTCTCCCTCTTCCTCTCTAGCTCAGGGCAACGACTAGGCCACTAACCCTGCTCTCTCTCTTTCTTGCTCTCTCTCTCTCTCTCTCTCTCTCTTACCTCGGGACAATGGCTAAGCTACTGCTCCCCTTTTCTCTCTCTCTTACCATCTCCCTCTCTCTCCCTTCCTCCTCTCTCTCTTTCTCTCTCTCAAACTTGGGCAGCACCTAGGCCGCTGTCGCGACCCCTCTCTCTCATTCTCCCTCCCTCTCCTGTCTCTCTCATTCTCCTTCCCTCTCCTTTTTTTCTCTCATTCTCCCTCCTCTTCTCTATCACTCCCTATCTCTCCCTCTCTTCTCTCACTCTCTCTATCGTTCTCTCTCACTCTCTCTCTTTCATTCTCTCCTACTCCCTTTCCCTCATTCTCCCTCTCATTTTCTTCCCTCTCTCTCTTGTTCTCTCTCACTCTCTTACCCCTCCATCCTCTCACTCTATTACCCCTCCATCCTCTCACTCTAATTCTCCCTCTTAATTCTTTATTCTTCTTATCTCATCTTAGGCCACTCTTAGGGGGGTCATTCGTCTTATTTAAAACTCGGCGTCCAGCGTCTTTTGAATCCTTAGGTGTATCCGGGCCTCGTGATCAGTACCTTTTTGTTGCTTCCGGTAAATACGACCTTGGGGAGGTGACACCATGAGGCTATCCAACCATCTCTTCTCTCCCGTACTTATTTTCTTTCTTTTATCTCTTCTCTCCCCTACTTCTTCTTTTATTTATTCTCTCTCTTCTCTCATTTTGATTACTCTACAAGGTTCCGAGTCATCCTTCGTTCGGATTCGTTTACGCTCTAATCTGTGCTTATCTCTTGGATGAGATCTGCTCAAATCTTAAAAAAAAAAAAAAAAAATGTTATTTTTTAAAAGGTAGAGAAAGTGGGATCGCTTAAATTATGGGTTTAGAAAAATCCTAAATCTATACAGCCCTTTTTTTTAGCCTATTGGCAGTGCCAACTCCAATCCATATTTTGACTTAAAAATGATTCTGAATTTAATTAAATATAATAATAAATTATTTTTTAAAAATAAATAAATAAAATAGAGAATTAAATAAGAAAATTAAATTAAATTAAAAAAAAAAAAATACTTAACTCTAGGGACCTAAAACTTAGAGTTTTGCGTTTTGGGTTTGGATCAGGCCGCTTTTCTGATTTATGCCACCATCTCATTTTTTTTGGATTCTTTATGTTCGCTGCAATTGGTAGATCTAACATTCTTTGACCTAGATTTAGAGTTCCTAAGGAAGGAGAAAAGGTAGGGTCTACCTAGGTTTTTCTGATGGATAATGAGGGATTTTTTTTAGTTTTCTAAAGTTTTTAGGGGGCTCCTAAGATTAAATCCGGATTTTGAGATTCTTTTAGGAATTTGGGAGACTTTTTGGCATTTGTTTTTAATTTTTTATAAATTTTCTAAGGATTTTCTTAATTTTGAGTATTTTTTGGGTATTTTTCCTAATTTTGATAATTGTATACCCATTTTCTAAAGGATTTCTTGGGGATTTCTGATCTCTCTTTTTGGGTTCTTGAGGGGGGTATTCATAGGTTTCAAGGGATGATTTTTTTTGATTTGTTTGAATTTTTTTGTACTTTTTCAGGTTTATCTGAATTTTTTGGCTTTATCTAGTTAAAAGACATGTTTACTGCATCATCAGTCCGTGTTTGAGCATGCCGAGCTGCAACACGGCCCGACCCGAGGCCCGACACTTAGGTCTCACAAAGATCAAATTGTTCTTTTTTTTAATTTTTTTAATCGTAGGTCTGATTTGAGTGATTATTTGATTGTTGAAAAGCGCTCATGGTCTACTTCAAATTAAGATAGGTTTTGGACAATTTTGAGACACTTCTATTGAGTTTAGATTCTTTATGATCGATTAAAATTTATGCCGTAAAGTGCCTAAAAAACATTTTGAAAAAGGTTTTAAAATTTTCCCTCTCATTAACCCGTGACATGTTCTCATAATTTATGACAATAATAAATGGCGACTTAATGCGGATTCATTTTTGACCATTCAAAAAGATAATTTATGACAATAATAAGAGGTACGGAGTCATTTTTTACAATTCAAAAAGATAATTTTTATGACAATAATAAGAGACGATTTAGTACGGAGTCATTTTTTACCATTTAAAAAAAAAAAAACAGAAGTATTTTTTGACCCATGCTCATTATTTGAGATCACCGTATATGGCTGGGTCCCACACCAGTGCTCAAATTGAAAACTTGGGAGACAAAAAAACAAAAGTAAAATGATTGGTCACACATTGGCTACGTGTCTATACGGTGGCGACACATTCTTCATTCAATCAGGTGTTCTTTTCACCCGATCTTTTGTTTTAAAGGATGGGCTTCTATGAGTCGGCCGACTCATATGTACCTATGCGGCTCTCGACTAACACCTATTTTAAAGATGAATTTTTTATCTAATTGCCTTTTTGTAAATTTATCATCTTGGCAAAGAAGATCATGAATATGAAAAGAAAAGTAAACTTTTAAAACAAAAATATAAATTTTTAAGCATTTTTTTATGCACAATCCATGTCTTATTTATGGACGACACACTTTAGATAAAATCCATCTTATACACTTTAGATAATATCCATCTTTAAGATGGACATCTGTAAGTGAGCGGGCTCTTGCACCCCTTGACTCATAAACAATTTCCTATTTTTAAATGCTAAAAAGAAAATTTCCCAAATTTTATCATATAATATTTGAATTTCTTTTTTTGTTTTTTGCGTTCTTATTGCACTGTTGATTTTTGGCACCCAACTCAAGGTTGGCCTATAAATAGGGCTCAAAGTCCATTGGATGGTGTAACTAAATATTTTGATAGTGTATTTTTTACTCCTTGTAGTCTTTGTGGGGCACAGCAGTGGCGCATGAGCAATGGTTGTTGCTTGCTTTTGTTGGGCTTGGGATGGGGGACTTTGATTTCTATTACTATGTCAGCCAGGTATTGATGTTTCCATGAAGTGCCGCACTCTTGTTTCTTGTTTTTGTTTTTTAGATTTTTTATGTTTTCAACAGCATTCTCTTATGTATGTCCCTATTGGTCATTTTATAGTGGATTTCAAAATTTATTAAAAAAGAATACTCGTAAATAGGAAGCATGTCTATACGTTGCTGCATTCTATAACTAATGTTTCATTTCTATTTGGGGGCTGCTAAATGTCAAACATAGGTGGCTATTGTTTACAGCCATCCTATCTAAATAGACGACCGGGATGACTTCAGTGTCAAAAATTTGTTTTCTCAATACTTTTAAAAAAGTTTCAAAAAATACCAATATTTTTAAACATAACATTTATGCCCCCAACTATGTTTTTAAACCCAAAATGCTCTTTACGGCCCTAATAGATTTGTGATTGCCCAATGAGTCCCTTTCGGATTTATAGCATGCAAGGTAATCAATCGGTTCTTTGGGCATCATGACCTTAAATAGGACATGATGGTGCATAACCACTCTAGTACGGTTGTGATGCCCATCATGGTTTTGTAGAGTATTTTAAATAAAAATAAATAAAATTATTGGCTATGGAAGTAATTTTTTTAAAAAAATTGGAATATTCTAAATTTTAAAAAATATAAAGATATTTTTTTGATAATTTCTCATAATCATTTTCACGCATTATTTTGACATAAAATTTGAGGCATGTCTACTGCTTATGGGGGCACCTAAGAATAAATAAATAATAACTATTATTGAGAAAACATAATGATCATAATCTCCAACAATTTTTTTTGTTTTTATGGTCATTTATTTATATTTGAAAAATATTTTTCATATTTTTAATGATACGCCCCTATGAGAGTTGGGCATAAGCAATTGTCAAAAAAGACATGGCATATATGAATTTTATGTTAAAATAAATAATAAATAAATCATAAAATAATAAACACAGCTTTCCAATCAAGATCAGATATTATCAGTGACATTACAATTGAAATCATCCCTGCCAAACAGCTAGAACAACAAATACTCATATTGGTACGTTTATGGAGTCTTCATAGAAAGGATTCCCCTATGCCTATTCTGATTCAATCAAAAGAGTACCGGCCACCCTTTATGTGAGATAGAGACACTGCCTTGCTCGCGAGAGGGAAGAGAGAGCTTAAAAAAATTGGAATTTTATTTAAAATTTGAAACTCAAGGCCATCACATAAATTAAAAGTTGATATCCATGAAGTGTGGAAAATATTAGGGCTGAGCATGAGTCGGGATTGGGGTCATGATCTACTAGGATCTGGATTCGGATCCAAAAAGTATGCATGGGACTCAGAACTGGATATGGATTTGGATCTGATCGGATCCATAATATTTGAATTGAGATCTGAATCCAAAAATTATACATAAGATTTAGATCCAGATACGGACCCGATTCGATCTAAAAAATTATTTTATATAATTTTATGTCTGTAAAATAATGTCGAATAATATATAACAAAAAATACTATATATTATTTTATATCTATAAAAAAATATAGAATACTATACAACAAAAAATACTATGTATATAATATATTGTAACTGGCTCAAATCTGAATTGGATCCACCTGTGGCTAGATCCAATTTCAATAGTATTTAGATCCCAATTTTGGATCTGGATCCAACCCATCGGATGCAAAACTTGGATCCATACCCGGATTCGAATAAGATCCAAAATTTGGGTTTTAGATCCAAACCGAATAAATTCTCAACCCTACAAAACATCCATACACTTCGAAGGTTTTCACAAGAGTTTTAATATCACAAATTTTGCCTTCTTCTTTACTCTTTGGTTTGTAATTTTTTTCAAAAGATTGTATAACAAGATACTATTATCCGAATGTTGGTGAATATTTTTTTTTTCTGTTTTATTAAACTTTGAGTCTAAGTAATGACATATTTAGAACCACCCAATTTAAAATTTGAGAGTGATTATAACCTCTTTATACTAAAATTT